GAGTTAGGGGTAAACAGAGGGAAGGCTGAGTCTGCTGAAGGCTTCTCCCTGTCAAAGCTCATGGTGTTTCCAGGACTCAGTATGTGACAGGCACGGCCCTCAGTCTTCTCTCATTTAATCTTCACAACAACCTTATGCAATAAATTCTGATACCCTTCTATAGTTGAGGAGCTTCCTTTCCTGCCAGTAGAAATTACATTTTATTTAGTTGTCTTATGTGCTTACTACACTTGAGTATATACTAAGGCTTAGGGACTTACTCAAAGTCACATACTAGTAAATGGTAGAGCCAAGTCTCAAACATAAGATCCGTCGGCACCAGAGTTTGCATTGTTAACCGTTAGCCTCTGTGCCTCCAGAACATTGTTTACAAGCCCTTTTAGCAGTAGAATCCTCTTTACGTAAAATCACAGGTGGAAGCCCAGCAGGTAGGTGAAAGCTCCACTGTCCTGGTTGAGGCTGTTTCCAGTATGAATGGCCCACCTCTTGTCACGCTGGCCCTTTGCCTTCACACAGCGACCACACCTTTCTTCTAAAACTGCTCCCTAAAGCAGGTGGTCCTGCATTCTCCTGGGTCTTTCTGGTCTTCCTCTCTTTTGGGAGTTCTTCCTCATATAAAGGGGCATTCCCCAAAATTCCCTCCTTGGCCCACTTCTCCATCTAGTTTCTCTCTGGATGATCTAAATAATTCACTCCTGGCCGAAACCGGTTTGGCTTAGTGGATAGAGAGTCGGCCTGAGGACTGAAAGGTCCCAGGTTCGATTCCGGTCAAGGACATTTACTTTGGTTGTGGGCACATCCCCAGTAGGGGGTGTGCAAGAGACAGCTGATTGATGACACTCTCTCATCGATGTTTCTAACTCTCTATCCCTCTCTCTTCCTGTCTGTAAAAAATCAATAAAAATATATAATAAATAAATAAATAAATAATTCACTCCTATGGTTTCAGAAACCAGTGTACTAGATCTGCCATACCTCTTGGTTTGTCCCACACTCCCATTCTAGTTTAAAACTGATATATCCAACTACCTACTAGATCTCCCTGCTGGAATTTCCATGGCATTTTCAATTCAGATATCCAAAATGGATATCAGAATCTTTCTTCATCTGTCTTTTATGATCTCTGCTTTAGTCATCTTTGCCTCTTCCTTTTCTTCTACCCTGGAGCTTCCACCCCCTAATATATCACAGTTGCTGTTCCCTCCTCTTCCTTACTGCTATCCTGGCTCAGGCCCTCATCTTCCTTCAAAACTACTCTGTTATAGCAACCTCTGAGCTGGTCCCCTGCCTGGAGTCTGCCACTTCAAATTCAGAAGCCACACTGCAGAAGAGTGAGCTATCTTTAAGGCAGATCTGCTCCTCAGTGACCCCCCCATAGCCTCCAGATTGAGCAAATGTACTAGGGCCTTTATTCCTCTCTGCTTCTCTCTCGGCCTCATTACTTGCCACACCCTAATCTGTGCTCTCTCTTTTAGCAACACAGAATAGTTTATAATTTCTCCAGCATCCCACACCAGCTCTCATCTGCCTTTGTTCATGCTGCCCCTTCTTCCTCTCCTCATCCTGTCTAATTTGTGCTCATCCTTCTGGAATCAACTTGCAAATTACCTCTTTAAGGAAGCCTTCTTGTTATCCTTCTCTTTGGCACCCCTCCCACCTACACTCACCTGTGTATCATTGCCCATCTCATGATGGTATAATTATCTATACCAAGCATTATTTGGCCCGTGTTAGCCTTGGAGTTTGATATGCTTGATCTATACACATAAGTCTGTGGTCTCTGAAATACAGAGACTATCTTACTCATCTCTTTATGCCCAATATCTAGCACAGGGCCTAGCATAGTATAAGTATTCAGATTCTTAAATCAACTGTTTAGAATAATGGAATAATGATGGTGTTGGTAGAGGGGAGGGAGAGGAATGTTTCTTTCCGCCCATCAGAGAAACCTCACCCTCACCAGCCTGTCTGTTTTTTGCGTAGTGGGACCCAGCTCGGCTGAATGAATCTACCACCTTTGTGTTAGGATCTCGAGCCAACAAGTAAGTCTTAGAGCTTTGGCACTGAGGAAGGAGTCCACCCCTTAGGACTACAACGGCAGGAATCCTTACACATGTCTGTTATTTTTCAGAGCCCTGGGGATGGGGGGCACCAGAGGGAGAATCTACATCAAGCACCCACACCTCTTTAAGGTAGGTGAGAGCTGGGGGTCAGGCAGGCCATTGCAGGGGAATATGTGACATTGGGAACTGTACATGGCACAGAGAAGCTTGGGGCAAACACCGATCTGCGAGTCAAGGCATCTGGGTTCTAGTTGCCCTCGACCTTTACTTTTTATAATTTACGCAACAACTCTGGGCCTCAATAATGGCTACTTGTCCTGTGTGTTTATTGTGTACCAAACCTGGTTTTAGGTGCCACACATTATTTCATGGAACTTCCTTTAAGATGGAATGGCTGAGAAAGGCTAAGTGACTTGTTCAGAATCACTCAGTGGTAACTAGTGAGTCAGGTCTGTCCTCGGCAAAACCTGAGCTCTTGTGCATGTTATTAAACTAAGTCTCCCTCATTTTATTTTTGTTTATTTATTTATTGTGAATCCTCGCCTGAGGATATTTTTCCATTAATTTTTTTCTTTCTTTTTTTTTTTTTTTTTAAGTGGAAGGAAGGCAGGACAGGGAGAGAGAGAAACATTGATGTGAAAGAGAGACATCGATTGGTTGCCTCCCACATGACCCCTGACCAGGGCAAGAATCGAACCTGCTACCCTGGATTGGGAAGGACCCTTAGGTGCATGAGCCAGGGCTCCTTCATTTCATCTAATGGCTATAGAATTCATAGAATAAACATTCCATCATTTATTTCACTACTCCCCTGTTGTTAGATATTTAAGTTTTTTCCAACAGTTGCTATCATAAACAATGCTGCACAAAACAAACTGTGTACATGTGTGGGTGACTCTGAAGGGTAAAACCTTGGAAATGGGATTTTTCTGGGTCAGAAAATGCACACTTTTAAGTTTTTGACTGATGTTTATATTATATTAGAGGCCCAGTGTACAACATTCGTGCATTTAGCGGGGGGGAGGGGGAGGGTGTCCCTCATCCTGGCCTGTACCCTCTCACAGTCAGAGACCCCTTGGGGGGGTGTTCCCTCAGGGAGCGGGCCTAAGCCAGCAGTTGGACATCCCCTGAGGGGCGTCCTTAGTGCTGCTGGGGAGACCAGAGAATCTTCTGCTGCTGCACTCTCCAACCATGAGCCTGGCTTCTGGCTGAGTGGCCACCAGGGGCAGCTCCTGCATTGAGCATCTGTCCTCTGGTGGTCAGTGCACATCATAGTGAGCATTCATTCTGCTGTTTGATCGATTTGCATATTAGCTTTTTATTATATAGTATGGGAGGTGAAACAATTATTCAAACTCAAAGTTATTAACCATACAGTTGGTCTCTATTTCAAATGTTATGCCTGTTTGATAAAACCTATCTATATTGAGCACTTATGTGTCAGATATGATTAGCACTTTTTATGCACCACTTTTTTTTTTTAAGAGGACGTTTATTAAAGTTGGGTACAGTGAAACAGGAAAGGGCGGGAGAAATGAGCCTAGAATGGGCTTCTTTGGCTCACTAAGAAGTCAGAGAAAAAGGGGCTTTGGGGATAGGTTTAGGGGGTTTGCCCAGGATGAATTGCCACTGACCATTGTTACCCTAGTTGCAAGTATCATGAGGTCTCTCAGAGTTTAGGAGATGCATCCCTGTAGGGAAAGAAAGGGGGAAGGCTTGGGCATGCAAGCAGGCCCATTTTACTTATTCTTAACAACCCTCTAAGTATTAATACAGTCTTTTTCACAGATGAAGAAACTGAGTCTCAAGGAAATTACTGCCCAGGTATATACTATCTATTAAGTGGCAGAAACCAGACTTTAAATTTTTTTTGTCTAATTCCAAAACCAGGTTCTTAAATGTGATGCTATCCTTTCTTCCCCTGAGCATGAAGTGTCCTGGCTTTTGTTTTAGAAAATATAGTCACCATAATATATTTTATAAGCTTCCTCAAATCATTGTTTCAAAGAGGAGTAGCGCTCTATAATAAGAGTCAAACCCATTGCCTGAGATGCTGTGTATTGAGAAACAAAGGGGTTGGAGCTTAGATAGAAACTAAATCTCTGGAAATTGGGTCCCGCTCCTGGTTTCCTGGGCTCAACTGCACTTTTTCTGAAGAGGTTGGTGAGCCCTCTACATCCACCCAGCTAAGACAAGGTCTTGTTCATAAGAACTGCTCGAGGGCCAACAGTACGATCTGGGAACAATAAGGAGAGCCCCTCACACAGGCTAATGTCTCTGTGATTCCCTCCCTCACAGTACGCTGCTGATCCCCAGGACAAGCACTGGCTGGCCGAGCAACATCACATGCGGGCAACCGGGGGGAAGATGGTGAGCACTGTTCCCTCGTGACCCTGCCAGAGACCCCGCAGCCCAGGAGCCAGGTTCTGGCCATTGGTGGCAGCTTACCTCCAAATCTGAGAGACTCAAAGCCGGATGAATGTAGAAAGGCAGGCGTGTGAGGGCAGCGAGGGCCGTTCCTTCATGCTGAACAGCAGGCTGGAATTCCCTTTGCTCTCCTTAGGTCTCCCGCACAGCACCCCCTCAGCCCCTCCTCACCTCATTCCTCATTCGTAGCTTTTATTAGCTAAACACAAGAATGGCGGGTACAACTGATTATCCCTTGTGCCTGTTGACAAATTTCACTCATCAATCACAACATTCTGCATCTGACACTATTAAAGAATCTTTTCTCAACACAGTCCTTGTCATTCCTGGAATGGTTCCTATTAGAATCCAATGGCCTTGCAAACCAGTATGCCATCTCTTTTCTGGTATTGAAAGCTAGCTTTATTTTACTGCTATATTTATACCTACACCCTGTCTCAAAAAAAAAAAAAAAAAAATAGGTGAGGGGAAGACAGGATCTAAAATTAGAGCAAGACTAGGTTTTTTGTCTTGTTTTTATTGCTGACGTGGGAGACCAGTGCACTTCTGGGTTTCCAGCTCTAGGCTCCTCTCAAGAACACCTGGTCTGGCCAGGACCGGTTTGGCTCAGTGGATAGAGCGTCGGCCTGGCCTGCGGACTGAAAGGTCCCAGGTTCGATTCCGGGCAAGGGCATGTATCTTGGTTGCGGGCACATCCCCAGTAGGGGGTGTGCAAGAGGCAGCTGATCGATGATTCTCTCTCATCGATGTTTCTAACTCTCTATCCCTCTCTCTTCCTCTCTGTGAAAAATCAATAAAATATATTTAAAAAAAAAACAAACACCTGGTCTGTTAGAAAGTTTGCTGTGTCCTTAAGATGACAGTCAAATGACCCAAGGGACACACAACCAGTTATTCCTGACCCTAAGACTAGAAAGACATGTCTCCCGCAAAAGACTTTTTCACGTGCGGAACAACATCCTCGATGGGAAGCTCAAAGAGGGCTCTCGCCCACTGCAGCCCATGGCATTGTGCCAGCAGCTTTACAGGCCTCAAAGCAACACAGCCCAATTACTAGGCAATTTTCCGTTCGGCCACAGGTTCAAAACCAAATAATCTTGGTTCCCAGAGTTAACATAGCTTCCTCCAATTTCCTGTTTCCATGTATATTTCACTAGCTCTCTTGCCATTTTTTTTTTCTTGCCATTTTGTTATTTAGTACCTTGGGATCCTTTTTATTTTATTTTATTTTATTTTTAATATATTTTATTGATTTTGTACAGAGAGGAAGGGAGAGAGATAGAGAGTTAGAAACATCAATGAGAGAGAGTCATCGATCAGCTGCCTCTTGCACACCCCCTACTGGGGATATGCCCGCAACCAAGGTACATGCCCTTGACCAGAATCGAACCCGGGACCCTTCAGTCCCCAAGCCAACGCTCTATCCATTGAGCCAAACCGGTCTTGGCCCTTTTTTATTTTATTTCTAATATTTTTACTGCCAAAACCAGTTTGGCTCAGGGGATAGAGCATCAGCCTATGGACTAAAAGGTCCCAGGTTTGATTCTGGTCAAGGACATGTACCTTGGTTGTGGGCACATCCCCAGTGGGGATTGTGAAACAGGCAGCTGATTGATGTTTCTGGCTCTCTGTCTCTATGTAAAAAGTCAATAAAATATATATTTTTTTATTTTTTACTTATTTCAGAGGAAGAGGGAGAGATAGAAACATCAATGATGAGAGAGAATCATTAATTGGCTGCCTCCTGCATACCCCCCTACTAGGGATATAGCCCACAACTGGGCTTGTGCCCTGACTGGGAATCGAACCGTGACCTTATGGTTCATAGGTCGACCCTCAACCACACCCAGCCAGGATCAGGGTCCTTTTTTAAAAGAGGAGAAAGTTGCCAAAACCGGTATGGCTTAGTGGTAGAGCATCGGTCTGCGGACTGAAGGGTCCCAGGTTCGATTCCGGGCATGTGCATTGGTTGCGGGCACATCCCCAGTGTGGGGTGTGCAAGAGGCAGCTGGTCGATGTTTCTCATCGACATTTCTAGCTCTCTATCCCTCTCTCCTCCTCTCTGTAAAAAATCAGTAAAATATATTTTTTTTAAATAAAAATAAAAATAAAAGAGGAGAAAGTTATAGTTACCAGTTTTCACTCCCCTACCCATAGTTTCTATTTGAGTGAAAGATTGCCTCAAGGAACTGTCCTTATTTACTTCCCCCTACTAAGTTATAAACCATGCCCCCCTTCCTTACGCCCTTACATCAAGCAAATGTTTAATAAAGTGTGGTTAAGCTACACAGAAATGAATCGGAGTTGATGATCACTCTCCTTTGCTCCTCACCAGGCCTACCTCCTCATTGAAGAGGACATCCGGGACCTCGCTGCCAGCGATGATTACAGGTAAATCCAGATCTGTCCCCTTCTCTCTCCCTGCCTATAGTACCCCTACGACAGGCCTACATCCTGTCTTCAACTTTCTTCCTCAATGTCTTTGTCAGAGGATGCCTGGACCTGAAGTTAGAGGAGCTGAAATCCTTTGTCCTGCCCTCCTGGATAGTTGAGAAGATGCGAAAGTACATGGAGACTCAACGGACAGAGAACGAGCATCGTGCAGTCGAAGCACCTGCACAGACCTGAAGCCAGGTGGCCTGGCCACACTAGGCAGCCTTCCTCATGACCCTCTTTCCCTGTGACTGAGGCCACCACTGAGACTGCTCCCACATGGATGATAGCGGCATTAAGCTGTGCCTCACAGGGGTGATCACTACAGAGCATCCCAGACTGGCATGTAGTTCTATATTTGTAAAGTTATTAGGATAAGAAGCAATTAAAGTTTGTAATAAACACACATGAGCCTGCTGTGTGTTCTGCCCTGTGGGGGCTGACAAAACATCAAGGACTCTAGAAGTGGGTAGAGGAAAGGACCAGGTACCCCTCTCTAACCCCCGGTTAGACCCAGGAAGGTCCTGCTGCCCTTTTTGCTCTATGAGATGATGCTGGGAACACCTTACACACCTCCCTGTCCTCTGTTTCTTATTTCTTCACCCAACTTCGGCATGGAAGTAGCAGAATGTAATGGGTAGCACCATGATGGGTTCATCACAGACCAGAATAAAAATGCAAAGTGGCTTTTATTACCCCCATTTTATAGATGAAAACACTAAATATGTAGAAAGGCAGCATATGAACCTTTTTTCTAATAGGGAGTCAGCCTCAAGGTTTTCCTCTCTCAGTGGGCCCAGGATGTAATGGAATAGAGGCAGGGGTTTCGGGTTTCGCGGAGGGGTACCAGGCTAGATTAGAGGCTCTCTTTTCCCCGGAGTAGGGTTCGGGGCTGGGAGCTGTGGCCGAAACCGTAACCCTGAGATTGACCTAAAGGGGCACGTCCCACGTGGATTTTTTTCTTAGCCCTTTAATGGTCGCCGTTTTCCAAAAGCCACCAATCCACTGCAGACCCGTTTTAATGGCAGCCCCTCCAGCCAATCGCCCGTCAGAATCGGGATTCCCGCGGCTCGGGAGTGGTGCGCTGGTGAGTGCGTCTAGCAGTTTCACCGTGCGGCCCTCCGGAGCGCCCCATTGGCTGGATCAAACCCAAGCGAGCCTCTGATTGGCCAGCGCCACCGGAGGGCTCAATTCAAATGCGGGCGGGTGGGCCGGCTGCCCTGCAGTTACAGTCGTGTTCCCCGCGTCCGCGTCTTCGCCAGCGCCGCCCGGATGGCCTCCCAGAACCGCGACCCCGCCGCCGCCAGAGTCGCCGCCGCTCGCAAAGGAGCCGAGCCCAGCGGGGGCGCCGCCCGGGGCCCGGTGGGCAAGAGGTGAGGCTGCCGAGTGAGGCCCGGCCTCGCACGCCCTGGGCGGTGGGGCCCAGGCTTCCGGGCCCCGGAACGACTGAGATATGGGAAGTTGGGGGGCACGCTGAGAGCTCGGGCCGCCCTAAGAGACCCTCCCAAAGAAGGATAGAAATTTCGAGGTCTGGGCGCGGGCAGAGACCCCAGAGCAGCAGTAGGGGTTCGAACACGCTAGAACAGCGCCGGAAGAGCCTGCAAGTGGGGAGAGCGAGGGCTCCCCGGGCCCTCCTGTGGGAGTGGGAGTGTGCCCCAGCGGAGCGGAGCCTCCGGGAGGGGAGTCGTTGGCAGCTCTTCCGGAGAGATGGGGTGGGAGGGGGTGGACCAGCTGCGCCCTGGCCCATCCGGACTCCCAGCTGACTCCAAACGCTCTGTCTGCAGGTTACAGCAGGAGCTGATGACCCTCATGGTGAGTGGCCGCCTGCCCGGATCCCCAGCCAGTTGGTCCCCCTCCCACTTTGCACTCCTCCTTCAGTAGCTTCCTTTCCCACATCAGGCTCTTTGCTAGACGCGGAGCAAAGGGGTAAAAAGATGAGTGCAGTTTGCTCCCTTCTGGGAACTAGTTCCTATACCTCCCCGACAACTTTTTCCCTAGCAGTCCCTACCCTACCCCTAGCCCCCTCTCCCCACAATGAAATTGTCTCTCAGATAGGTTCCCTGAAGCCCTAGGAGGCCTATCCCTATTTCCCTGCCCTCAACTTTAACCACGCCCAGCTCTCCACCCTTCTCGGTATTGCCAGTCCTCCCCTTCTTGAAGATGCTTCCATCCTACGCCCTTTTTCTACATTAACCCTGAATATTCCACTCAGATCCTTCAGTGCCCGTATTGTATGTCTGTCTCCCTAGTCCGAGTAGGCTTTGCACAGATAGAACTGGCACTCAATAGCAAGGCGAATGGTATTTCCAGCCACCAACAAGGCTGGGTGCAGGGAGCCCTCTGCTCCCCTGCATAACCCCTCCGTCCCTAGCCCGGCCCACTGTCCCTAGCCCAACCCACTATAATCCGCATACTCCTCCCCAGGGGGCATGTTCAGCCCCCAGAGTCTAAACACTCTCAGAAAAGGCTATCACTTTGGTCTGAGTGCCTTATTTTGGATCAGAACGTGATGAGATTCAGGGGTTCACCCACTGCTCCCAGAAGTGTTCTCCATATCCTGAGAGCTTTGTGTTTCCTCCCCAGACGTCTGGCGACAAAGGGATTTCTGCCTTCCCTGAATCAGACAACCTTTTCAAATGGGTGGGGACCATCCATGGAGCAGCGGGCACAGTAAGTGTGGGATTGGGGAAGGGGGATGTGATGCTGGGTCTGTGGAGAGGAGGGAGGTAAAATCATGTGCCACATCTGCGTCTAGCCTTTAGGCGTGCAGGTGGCACGCCCCTGCGCTCTGAGCCTTCAGTCCTGGTTCCCCCTTCTGTACAGCAAGAAGGTGGCTTTAAAGCAAGGTTGTCCATCTTAGAGTCTTCAGGGGCCAGACAGCAAGGAAAAGAAGGGAGGACAAATGAGGACTTAGCCCATTGAGAGGGCACAAGTCAGCTTCCCGTGGCTGTTTATCTGGTTTAAGAGAAATCAGGACTTCAAATCTGTGACCAAAATCTCCCAATTTTTACATGTTAGCAATTAATATTCTTTTTATTTTATTGATTTTTTTTTCCAGAGAGGAAGGGAGAGGGATAGTTAGAAACATCGATGAGGGAGAATTATCGATCAGCCGCCTCCTGCACACCCCCCACCAGGGATGTGCCCACAACCATGGTACATGCCCTTGACCAGAATTGAATCCGGGACCCTTCAGACCGCAGGCCGACGCTCTATCCACTGAGCCAAACCGATTTCGGCAGCAACTAATATTATTGGACTAAAAAGCAACCCTCAGGGTACCAATTTACAACCCTTAGACCAAAGGACCCCTGATGTCCACCAGATGAGAGAAATTACCAGAACCAGTTGTAAGAGTTTGTCTTCTGTCAAGTCCTAGAAAAACTAAAAGATCCTAACAAGGTCCTTGGGTGGGGCTTGGGCTGAAATATGAGGTTCAGGGTGGCAAGCTCACTCCCGCCTCTTTCTCCAATGCCAGGTATACGAAGACTTGAGGTATAAGCTCTCCCTGGAGTTCCCCAGTGGCTACCCGTACAACGCGCCCACGGTGAAGTTCCTCACGCCCTGCTACCACCCCAACGTAGACACCCAGGGTAACATCTGCCTGGACATCCTAAAGGACAAGTGGTCGGCCCTGTATGACGTCAGGACCATCCTGCTCTCCATCCAGAGCCTGCTAGGAGGTGACTTCTAAGACTAGCCCTCCTCCCCCTGCCGCCCGGGAACCTGTCAGGACTCC